CATTCTTATTTTATGCTATAAATTTGTCATAAAAGTCCATTATTACTTCTTCTTCTAGATTTATATATGAAGAGACACCCTGTGCCTGGGATTTGAGTTTTAAATTATGAGTCTATCGTATTCTGTCTATATTTGTGAGTTATCTATATTCCATCTGTACAAGAACAGTTCCAAGGGAAAATGTGATTATGAAACGTGCTACCTAAGCAAAGAAAAAAAAAAAAAGTATCTATTAAACCTAGAATGAGGCCAAGCAGTTGTCTGTGAATTCTAGTCAATCAGAAGGAAGCATCGGGGGCATTTAGGAGGAATGGTGTTTACCTGACTGAGCTTTCTCCACAAGAGAGGGTCTAAAAGTTGCAATGTTATTTATGGAATGACTTCTAAGTTTAAGAAACAGTTGACATTTTAGCTTAAAATAGCCTTTATGTTCACCACTTCAGAAACTGTCTTCGTACTTGAGCAGATTTCAAGTTCCATAACGTGACACTACTAACCCTTAGACTTTCCAAAACAACTGAGTATTCAAGATTATACTGTCTTCTTCCTCCCCAGTGAACACGCATGCAAATATTCAATGGATTTTTAGATATTTTTATCACAATAACATATGCCTTAGCCAAAACAAAGCTAAGTTTATACAGCTAGTTAAAGCAGGAAATACTGGGTGTTAACTTGAAGGGTTCTATTTGGAAGACTAAAGATAACCTACAAATTATTCTAAAATAAAACTTGACTATAACCATTCCTTGTTTCATCTACTTGACTCTTCACTGATCAGCCAGTCCTAGGAAGGGAAAGATGTTTAAAGCTATAAAAAGAGTAGCATAATTCAATGAGAAAAAGAAGAAAAGGTAATAATAAATCAAATTTACAAGTATTTGAATATCAAAAATGTTAAACAGAGTAAAAGATCAGGAAGGCAAATTCAAGGGACTATAAATGGGAACAATAAAAGGTACTCATTTACAGTTTTATTCATCTGAGGAATGAAGCCAGAAGTATAAACTGTGTGACACATCACCACCCTACCTAATGTCCATCACTGAACATGGAAAGAAGGAACAGAAAAGTTCACTGAATTGGCCAAAATCAAGCAGAAAGTAAGAAATAAGGGAACCACTCTTGTGTCACTCTGGCTAAGAGACGATGATGATACTTTGTGGTCACTGTATCAGTGATGCCATTGATGGCTTCCTGAGACCTTAACTAGTAGGTGTTGATTCTTGGTAGATCCTACAAAGAAACCTCAAACCAAAGGCAGTAATCACTTACACACACACACACACACACACACACACACACAAATACACATATCACACGTGTCATTTGCTAACTTCTCAATCGTGTGGAGGATAGACAATGAAGGAGTTAAACATCTTTTCACTATTCTATCCCACCCATCCTGGAAGTTCTGCTGTGCTCATTCCCACTGTATGGTATCTAACCATTTGGTCAAGTGGATGGACCCAGAAATATGAAGTGTCACATACAGCAATGACCGGGGAAGTAAGTCTCAGGCTAAAGAAAATTTAAAAGGGGAGATGGAACAATTACCACTACATTTGAAATTGTACAGCAGATCCCAAACTCCCTCCCTTCCTTTTTTATTTTTAAGATTCTATTTATTTATTCAGAGAGAGAGAGAGAACAAAAGCAGGGGGAGCAGCAGGCAGAGGGAGAAGCAGGCTCACCACTGAGCAAGGAACCCAGCATAGGACTTGATCGCAGGACCCTGGGATCATGACCTGAGCCAAAGGCAGACTCTTAACCCACTGGGCCACCCAGGCATCCCTACTGCCTCCCTTCTTTTTAAAAAGTAAAAACGACAGGGGCACCTGGGTGGCTCAGTGGTTTAAGCCTCTGCCTTCAGCTCAGGTCATGATCTCAGGGTCCTGGGATCGAGCCCCCACATTGGGCTCTCTACACAGTGGGGAGCCTGCTTCCCCCTCTCTCTCTGCCTGCCTCTCTGCCGACTTGTGATCTCTCTCTCTCTCTCTCTCTCGCTCTGTCAAATAAATACATAAATAAATACGACAACCCTGAAACATACCATTAGCAAAAGAGACTATTTAAAATATATGCAGCAGCATCATTCTATAGGATTTAAAGCAATTTTCCTTAAATCAATATAAATGTTTCCTAAATAGATCTTTAGATGAAAAGTTAATTGAGAAAATATATATTGGGCCCCTCTGGCACCTACACAAGCTGGGAGAACAATAGTTCAGTCAGCATTAATTTGGGATTCAGAAACATCAAGTAGGTATTGGTTAAAGGATAACTGGAGAAAAAAGAGGAAATGCAAATCTTTGCAACTGGGGCATTCTAATTTGTCACAGACTGAAAAATCAAACTTAGAAGCTGGGTCACAGAGTCTAAGAGAATCCTCCCACATTTCCAGTAGGAAGTACCTCTAAGAGGAACCTGCTAAACTCTCATGGAGTGAAACTGATTTTTTTTTTTTTTTTTTTGGAGCAGAAAAACTCATTACCTTATTGCAAAACTTCCCCAAAGCTAAATGATAACAATGCATATCCTCCAAAACTCCCTCACACACTAAATGTTAAAAGCAAATGTTCGTTTGCAAACAAATATCTTTACCAAGAATTACCTTGAAATGCTGTGTAAACTAAGTTCTCATTAACTACTCCCTTAGGCTGAATTTTAAAAAACCATCATGCTATCCAAAGTATCAAATAGATAGAAAATTAACACAAAAATCAGAAACTTTAAGATGAGTTTCTAGCTCCACCAGTTAGAGAAAAAGAATATCCAATCAAAGCACCAAGCTTCACCAAGGGCAGGACGGGTAAAGAGCCTTCCTTACCTCAGAACCGAGCTGCACAGAGGTCTTGTCCTATTAACCTCAAAGAGACTCAGTTTGTTAACCCGAAAATAATACTACACACATTCTAAGGAAACCCAACTTTCAAAACACCAGCAAGAAATACTGAATACAAATAATACTTTTAGAAACATATGCTACATTAAAGGTAGGAGCTTACTTTTCTCAAGGCTTAAAGATTATGACGTGTAACCAAAGAAACCACACTTTGCTGGGAATCTGGAGACAGGGTTACAGTTCCAGCTTGAGGCATGAATGTCCCCCATTTCTTAGGCAAGTCACTTCATTTCTCATCCCCTCAGTTCCTTGATCTCTATAAAGGAGCAGGAGAGACTCCACAGCTGCTAGAGTTGTAGCTTCCTGATTTTTCACTTCTAGCCCCATGTGGGTCTAGGTACACAAACACACTTTGCTGAACAAAACACTACAAAAACATGGACCTTTATTTACGCAGGCTTTATACTCTATTCCTAGTCCTTTTCATTATTTTGTCCACAAGGGTAACTATTGCCCACAGTCGCCAAGGTAGTGATGATTAGAAGATCAAACACATAAGTGTTTATTAGGTGCGGGGTACTGGGCTAGGCACTTTGCAAATAATAACTCCCTTCTTCTTCAACACAGTCCTATGAGGCAGAAGCCAACAGTATTCCCATTTTTAGACCAGAGGAACCTGAGATACAGAGCAATTCTGTAATTTGCCCAGGGTCATAAGATTCACAGGTGGATTTGCCAGGATTTGACTCTAAACATTTTGGCCCTGGAGCATTTCCTGCTTAACTCCCACCCAGAGAGTCTATGGTTGGAAAAGGTGAAGTGCAGCGGAGTTCATCTGCAAAATGTTGTTGGGGGCGCCAAAACTGACCTCACGCTGTGAACTGTGTCAGGAACAAAGGGTAGCTCGTGATTTACAAACCCAACACGGGCAGTTGCCGCTGATACATTTTTCTTCCACACTGCAGTTTCACAATTAACACTGACCTTAAAGGCATTAAATTATTCCTCCCTCCCTTCTTTCTCCTCTTAGGGGAGATGCACAATTAACACAAGCTGTACTAAGTTAGGTGACTTCCTCGTGTAGGCACCACTCCGTTATAATATGGCTCGCAGTCACGGTCCAAGGACACTGCATGTTCAGTCATGTGCCCTAAAACCTACCAGCACACAATAGTGACCATCCAGGAGTGGAAACACCAGTTCCGCAGCCTGAAATCTTGTAGACGGGGCAGTCTGAAGCACTGAGGCCAGAAGGTAACCCAAAAAAATGCGTGCGCATCGAAATACACTGCCTTGTGCATTTAAACTGCTAACTTGTATTCACAATCAGGACAGAGAGAAAAATGCTAGTAATCAAGGAAGTCCTATTCAACCAACTAGCACATGGTATGTTTATACACATATCTCCCCCACTCATAAATCACTCGAATCTCAAGAGCCGTGCACTTGGCCGAGTTTCAGGCGAGGTTCAGGATTTCAGTGAGGCAAGACCCGGGAAGGAGAAAAGCACGTCTGAGTTCTAGAACCCAAGAGGCCCTCAGAGATCCCCGGGGGTCACGGCGCTGCACTCGCCCCTCCGCTACCCCTGAGGCGGGGGGCAAGTCCCCGATGCGCGAAGTCCAGAGGAAATTATTTCAGAGGCGACGGGACGGTGAGCAACCAACCCCGCAGAGGCAAAGCCATACCGGCTCACGACCACATCGTTGGGGTTTCACGTCCGAGGCCACAGGCTTTTACCCACGGCTCTCACAAACCCGGCCCCGAGAGACAGGAGCTGGAGAGTGGGGAGCTAGCAAACCCGGGGAGAGGTGCAGTTTTGCTTTACCTTTAAGGGAAAACATTTTAACGAAAACAGCCCACGGAGAAGCTAGCGAAGACTTCTCCGCAGGGCCTGTCTCCGGGCTTTTGAATCACTTCCTCCTTTTTCTGATGAGTCTCTGAGCTTGAGATTACGAAGTTGCTGAGAAAGTGTTGCCGCTCGGGGCAGCTTCCTGCGAGCTAGCTGAGCGCCCGGCGCTGTCCGCGGGCGCAGACACAGCCGCGCGGCCCGGCCACCCCCGGGCGGGAAGCTGGGGGACGCGGCGGCGCGAGCAGGGGCGGGGACGATTCAGCAGACGGAGCGCGGGCGCTGCCCAGCCCTCGCCCCCCGGCTTACCCCAGGGTGCTGATGAAGCCGTTGACCGAGCCCTCCGCGTACAGGGACACGATGTCCCCTATGTAGAGGAAGCTGGACATTTTATCAGACATGCTGCTTCATGCTCCAAAGTAGACGTCCCTCCTCTTCCCTGCGCCCTCGCCGACCTCTCTGGGGAGCCGCCGCGGCGGGGGCGGCACGGAGCGCACGGCTGCAGCGCCGACAGCGGCGGCGAAGGGCACGGCCTGAGTGACCGAGTGTCGTGGCTCAGCCGGGCCCCCGCGCCGGGGGAGCGGGCCAGGAGCGCAGCGGCGGCCGCGGACACCCCGCGACGTGCGCAGCCCTGGCGCCGAGAGAGCTGCAGCCGCCGCTTCCCCGGCAGGTTTCCTGTTCCTTTCAGAAGTTTTCTCTCCAACACCTTTGCTCCTCCTCCCGCCTCCTCCGCTCCCCACTCCGCGTCCCCTCCCTGCTCTGCGCCCCACCGCGGCCGTTCCCGCCGCCCGGCGGGTGCTGGTGGTTGCAGAGCCCCTCGGTCCCCTCGGGGGAATTTTTGGACCAGGTGGCGTTGCCCATTGGGCTGAGGGGAGGAGAGGAGCTGGGGTAGAGGGGGTGGGAGGCCAATCAGCGAGCGGCGGCCGGGGGAGGAGCTGGGCCCGGGCGGGGCGACTGTGCCTAGGCCGGGCCACCCGGGAAGCCGCGCGCTATGGTGTACCGCGGGCGCTGGAGGGGCAGCGGGACCCCCGAGCCGGGGAGAGGGCGCGTGATAGTCGCCCTGGAGCGTCCGCGCCTGGCGTGCGACAGTCCCCGCCGGGGAAAGCGAGGGATGGCGGGGCCAAGACGTTTTCCCCGAGTTTTTAAAAGGGCAGGGAGGGTGACCGTTGGTCTTGGGCCGGGCGCGGAGGACGCGAGCGGTGGAGTGAGCCAGCTAAACGCCTGGAGATGAAAAGGTGGAGCCGGGGACCATGGGTGGGGGTGGGTAATTTGCTGACGAAGGCAGAGGAAGGTGTTGAAGTAAGGGGGGGGGGGGGGGAAATAAAGAATAAATACATAATAAAGAAAATAAGGAAGAGGGAGGAGGGAGGAAAGGAGAAAGAAAGGGAGGGAAGGGGGAAAGATGGATGGATCTGTAGTTCCTTGGAGTATGTAGGTTTTGTCTCAAGTATGTGGTATTAGTGAAACTTGACCTGTCAGCAGGTGTCCAGGTGGATGCAAACTTCCATGGAGGTAAACCTCACATGGCCGAGCCAGCAATTCTTGTAGCCAACCGGTAATGGGGAACCTTCTCTAGTCTCCAAGGACAGGCCTCCTGTTGCTTCCTTAACTCCAAGCCAGTTTTAACCTTCCACCTCGTGAACCCATTGTCAGCATCTCACTGAAAATCTTCATATGTTTAAATTTAAAGATGCTGACTGTTAAAACTCCAGCAGTCACAAATGATAGTAGTGGCTGGACACGTTTCCACACCTCTGTGCTTTAATACCCCTCTTATCATTTTAGAAGTCTTTTGCCCTACCTTTCTGGAAGACCTGGAGAAGGCAAACCCTTTTCAACATGGGTTATGACACCAGCAAACTGATCAAAGAATTGCAACCTGAGTAATCGCCACAGAGCAAGGTCTACAGAAAGGGGGAGGTGGGGGCTGTGCCTGCAGAGGAGTGTATGTCAAATTGTGCACCTGACCAAAACTTATAGTGCAGAGATGTCTTACATGTCTTACAGTTCGTAGATGGTTTGGGTTGAGACTTATAATCACATAATGGAATATGAAAGAAAAATAAACTTCATATTCGAATGTGTGTGCTTAAAAAGCTTGCAGGAAAGAAGAGAATAGAGTGTTAGACCCAGAATCCAGGAAATGCCCCCGCAAAGCCTGTAAGCACTGAGATAAACTGGACCCAGTCATTGTCCTACCATGCCGCTGACAGATCTCTTTAGTTCCATGTTCTCATTTGGAAAAGGGTACTAAGCAACTTGGAAATGCCTGTTGCATGATAGAAACCCTCCGGTGTCTACAGAAATGGTACTATTGTTTGGGGCCTCGGAGACACTGAACATGAACTATTTAAAAGTTTCAGATGGAACAAAATGATGACCCTGGAAATGGAGGTTTCTGTTTATCTGGGGGATTTGGGTATTTCATTCTATTGTTGCCTTACTGCACGGTCCTGTGCCATACATGTAATGGATACTCAACAATTATTGCTCAAAGTCATAAATGTTTTCCCTTGGACACCGGAACCCTCAAACACTGCTAGAGGAAATGTAAAATGGCACTGCGCTTTGGAAAACAGTTTAGGACTTCCTCAGAAAGTTGAACATAAAGTTACCATTTGACCCAGCAATTCCATCTCTAGGTATATATCCAAGAGAAATGAAAACATTTATATATGCACACAAAACTTGTACACAAATGTTCACAGTAGCTTTATTCATAAAAGCCCAAAGTGGAAGTTTCCCAAATGTCCATCAATTAATGAATAGATAAACACAGGGGAACACTATTTGACCATGAAAAGGAATGAAGTACTGATTCATGCTACAAAATGGATGAACCTTAAAAAGATTCTGCTAAGTGAAAGATCATATATGATTCAATTTATAGGAAATGTCCAGAATAAGAGTACCTATGGCCGGTGGTAAAAAGGGCTTGGAGTAGGTAAATAAGGCACATAGGGTTTCTTTTGGTGGGAGATGAAAATGTTCTAAAATTAATTGTGATGGTTGTACATCTCTGTGGCTATGTTAAAACATATTGGGATGCCTGGGTGTCTTAGTCAGTTAAGTGTCTGCCTTTGGCTCAGGTCATGGTTCCAGAGTCCTGGGATTGAGCCCCATGTCGGACCCCACCTCAAGCCCTACCTGGGGCTCCCTGATCAGTGGGAAGTCTGCTTCTTCCTCCCTCTTTACCCTTCTCCCCTTCTCATGCTCTCTCATGCTCTCTCTCTTTCAAATAAATCTTAAAAAAAAAAAATCAGTAAAAAATAGTCTCAGGGTTGGGGATGGAGAGAAACAAAAGATAAGGTTAAAAGAGACTCCCTCAAAAAGTATTCTTCAAACTTACACTTGTGTTTGGCAATTTTTTTTCTTTAACTTGACTCTGTGCCCTTGGTCCTAACTGACACCTACTTTGGGCAAGGGCAGCCTCATATCTAGCTGCTCAGACCAGGAAAAGGTATTAGAGTACAACTGGAAAGATTCAGTGAAACGCTAGGTAGGGTAAAACATATCACTTCATTCCTCACTAATCATCTGACTAACTATGCAAGGTCAAAAATGTACCAGCTTCCAATAGAAATCAGCTTTTGCTTTTTTTTTTTTTTTTTCTTTTTAAATAAATTCTACCAGGGCACCTGGGTGACTCAGTTGGTTAAGCGTCTGCCTTCAGCTCAGTTCATGTAAAAATAAATAAATAAATAAATAAACTCTACCCCCAACGTGGGGGCTCAAACTCACCACTAGAGACCAAAAGTTGCATGCTCTACTGACTGAGCCAGCCAGATGACCCTAGCAATTACATTTTCATCAAATGGCTTCACCAACCTCTTTACGAATCCAGGCACCAAGTCTTGGAGTCACTCTTTATTCCTTTCTCTACATATTTCTTCCTCTTCTATTATCTCAAAAGTGTTTCCTTTTTTACTTTGCCCACTATCCTTGCTCCATTCTGTAGTGTTTCTGGTCATTGTCCCCTACCCTTCCAGTCCCCCTACTCGCCACCCTCATGGCAAGCCAGCACTGTCTCCTTACAAAGTTGATAGGATCAAAACTTTTCAAACTTACAAGGATGCCCCATTGTCTACAGAAGACCCTAACCTGCTGGAGTGAATATTAGATGTTGTGAACATCAGTCCATGTAAATGAATCTCCTGTGCTGAGAATACAAGACACTTCACCATGTCCCAACATTCCGGGCAGTCCATGATCCGGTCTCCTTTTCTTTCTCTAACCTTGATTTCTCCCTCTTCCACTCCTGATATCCTCACAGAAAACTAGACTTCCCACATACAAGCTGGCACTTTTAGATCCATGTCTTAGAATGTGAGGTCCCCCTCTGCTGGAAATTCCTCCTCCTCCTTCCCTTCTCCCACCTCTGCCTGTTCAAGCTCTACCTCCCCAGTGAGGCTTCTCGGATTCTGCCAAGGCCAAGTTCTCACTCTTCATGAATTCCCATGGCCAGACCACCCTGCCCCTAACATTTGTGGGTCTCCAGGGCAAGAGTAATTGGAGACACTCATAACAGTCTGAATATTAAACGTTGCAAATGAAGCTAAGTAACTGTTACAGGTAGTACAGGGAGAATTGGCCTACATTTTCCAAGTTCATCCTATCTACATCTCAACATGTACATCTCTACAAGTGATTGAGTCATTCCTCAACTACTTCTTGGGCCCACCCTGCACATATCAGATGTCCAGTCCACACTTGGGAAAGTGGGTAAGGGGCCATCTATGTGTGGGATTCTGGGGTCTCAGATACCCAGAACATATTCTAGGAGTGGGAGGAAACTTGGGCTGCTGGTAAGCATGTCTCCTTGGTCCAGAATAGGGCCCTCCACAATTCAAAACCCAGGGCAGGAGCCCAGTTGCCAAGCCTAAGGGTACATCTCTTTTTAGTTACCATTCAATACTTTCCACCTTGCCTTCTGGTTATTTCCATACATCTTGAGCCTTACCTCTTGAGAATGAGTGTCTAATTCATGTTTCATCCCTTATGGGGCCTAGCAGTCCTCATTTAGGGCTTCAATAAAGAGTTGATAGATTGATGTAATAATAACTATTGTGGAACTTTTTTTGAGAGAGAGAGAGAAAGCACACACTTGAGGTGGGGGGCAAGGGGAGGGGGATGGAGGGAGAGGGAGAGGATCTTAAGCAGACTCCACACTGAGCAAGTAGGCCTATTCAGGGCTTGATCTCATGACCCTCAGGTTATGACCTTAACTGAAATCAAGAGTTAGATGCTGAAATGACTGAGCCACCCAGGCACCCCTGATAAGGAATTTTTTAATGCTTAAATAATTTTATTACCTCTGATGGGAATAACAGAAGACGTCACAAACATCAGTTCAACCAAATGACATTTAAAGAGTCTCCTGTGCTGAGACTATGAATCACTTCACCAAAAGCCCAGTCATCATTGCCCTAAAAAATCTACAAGAGAGGTAATAAATAGAGCATAGTATAATATTGGAAATGTTTACTCCCAAAAGATTGATTATATCAAAAAATAAGTGTGCAATAAAAAGTTCTTCCATCAGAGATATTTTCAGGGTGATTTATATCCACTGTTCACTTGGATTCCTCAGATCAAGACTAGAAGTGAAAGGGTTTGAAATCTGTGATCTGTCAACTGAGTCATGAATAGCTTTCCTCATTCCCTGACTAGTACTAA